GTGTGCCCGGGCTGCGGGCCGGTTCGGGGTGCTCTGCAGCACCGACCCGTGAGCCTTCCCGATAGAGCACCGCACCCCGGTACCGACCTGGGGTCTCCAGCGGCATATCCGGGGGCATCCCCCAAAATCTTGCACTCTGCACGCACGGGGGTTTGCAGCCGCAGTCAGAGGAAAACCGTAACGCTGCGACACCGGGCCCCCGCGTCGGGCTCCTTCGGGTGCTTGTTCTGCCCCACATCGCAGGGAAATCTTTCCGAACGCTTTGCCCTCTGCAGTCCTTTTCCTTTGGAGCTTCAGAGCCTTTTGCATGCCTTAATCTCTGTTGGAGGGGGATGGAAACTACCAATTTTCTGTATTAACAGAGGAGGGAAACTGAGGCTGGGATGTGCCGGGACTTGCCCAGCATCCCAGCCGGCGATAGCGGATGTGACCGACAGATCCTTGTTCTAAAATTGTAACTTACCTGAAATTTCTAATAAAATGAACGATTCGTTAAGTTTCTGTATCACCTCTTTTTCTGGAGACTTCACGTTCCGGGTAGCCGAGACTCTCTCCTCTCTAGACGTGGCAGGCGAGTAGCAGTGTAGCCTGAGAAGGAAAAGGGGCGACGACAAAGTCACGTTTCCTTGCAGCTTCTTTGAAGTAAAGGTGTTGTAACCTGTAGCTGTGAAGCTTCTTGTTTTCCCTAAATCCTGTACAAACGCCTCGCTTTCCCGTTGTCTCGGAATGTAACCGTTCGCCCGGCGTAACGCCGGGTCTGTGGTGCGGGTCGGCCCTGATTTGCTTTGGTTGGAGTCACCCTTTATTACATCCCTCTGGGTGAATACGTGCGGGTTTGTGCTTTAAAAAAGAGGTGAAACCCTCTTGATGAAGACCGCTTTGGACCGGTAAACTCCTGTTTGTTGTTCCTCCTGCGCGGGGCCGCTTCAGGTGTCGGGATGGTCGAGGTTCGCGGCCGAACGTTGCCCGTGCGCCGTACTGAAGCCGCACGAGGGAGGGATTAGCAGCAGCGAGGCCTCTTCCCGCGGCGCGTGGGGTGTTGCGTGGGGATGCCCGCTCACCCGACAGGGTGGATGTTTCTCTGAGAGATGTTCTCGAGGGTGGCTTTTTTTGCGCGGTAGAGAAAAGCGATGGTGAGTTTCGTCGCGGCGGAATCGCAGCTGTGCAGAGCGGAGCGTGGCAGCTGTTGAACAATGCCCGGCCGCTGCACAAAGGTTTTGGGGCAGCAGACTGCTGGAACTGCGTCCTATTGAAATTGCAGATTAAGTTACTGCAGACGCGCAGGATTGCTTCCCTCTGGGCCTGCGGTTCTGCTGCCAAATCGGTTCAATACGACAACTTGTTTGCGCGTGAAACACTTGGAACTGGAAGAGACGTCGCGATGGGCGAGCGAAAATAAACATTCGGGGGGAAGAAGCCTGCATGGAGCGTGGGAGGATGGCTGCGTAGCCCAGGGCGAAGAGCTCGGTGCTCTTCCTTAAACCTGCTCGGTGTCGCACGCGCTTGGCGGCTCCCGCTGACCGGACGGGGAGCTCAGGCTGTTTCCCTGATGTGAAATCTTGGTGCTGTGTGGCTGGAAAACTGCGGGGTTTAAGTTGCTGCAGGGCACGGGTGGCCCCAAAGGGCGAGCTTTTGGGGTTCTGTGGGGAGCCGTGGGAGCGTTTGAAAACTCGCCGGCTGACGGGAGCAGGAGCAGTGGCGTGCGCGTGGAGCTATGGTGCGGGGGTGACGTTAGGGTCCGGGTGTTCTCGGGGAAGGGTCTCCAAGCGCTGCGGACTTGGCCAAGAGACCCCCTGGTTCTTACAGGGCTGCTGGCTGACGCTGCTTCGGAGCTTTCCTGCCTTGCACGGTGGTTCTTGCTCTGTGCGGCCGCGTTGGTGTTTGAACCCGCGGGCCGGGTTCTCTTGCTCGGGTTTCCTCCCCGCTCTTGGGCTCCAGCTCCTTCCCGTCGCGGGCGTCTGCCGGCGCGCACAGAGGACGG